TGGACAGGACACCAGTCCATCACAGGACACACACAGACACACACACTCACACTAGGGCCAGTTTTCCCAGAAGCCAATTAATCTACCAGTGTGTGTTTGGACTGTAGGAGGAAACCGGAGCACCTGGAGGAAACTCATGCAAACACAGGAAGGACATTAAATAACAGTCTTCTTTAATTATATCACAGAAATTGAGGAAAGACAAAGCAAGTGCATATATATTTTAGCTGTACATTTGTAATGCAAAACAAACAACACGTTGTGCAGTTGAATCATGCCACAACACAATGCTTCATTTTTAAAGACAATTTCTCTTGAGCCACACCTCGTTTAACCCAATTAATAACACAGATACAAAAAAACCCAAAGAAATGGCTGTGAGGGTTAGTCACAAATTGTCATTAAAAAAGAATTAAAATTGGATCAATTAGAATTTTTGTCAGCTGTAACACAGCAGCCTACCTTTTGAAACAATGAAACAATCAGCTTGCATCCTTAATTCTGTATTATAGTGCACTGGGAAGAGGCTGAATGAACCTAATTGATTCGTTTTATGGGCACAACAGACTTTAAAAGCAACGCGTTTGCGGGGGAAAGATGATACCCTAATAATCCAGTGTTCAGCAGCATAAAAGGAATTCTCACCCAGCTAAACACAAACTAAGACGACAAGGAGTATGTTGTATGACATATACATATCAGTGTCTCTCAGGTTTTAATTTGGTTTAACACCCTTGTTCATAGCAAGTCATAGCAAGTTTGCTTCTTTATGTTGACTTGTTCTAGCCTATTTTTCAGACTTCCGGAGTACCAGTAGCATAAGGGTTTAAATCAAAGTTTGAGGAAATAGCCTTTTCAAAATTGCTGGATTGTCTCCCTGATTGTGCCCAGACTTTGCGTCATGACTATCTGTGAAGCCAATATCTCCAGCAAGAGTCAGCATCCAACAGTGAGTAAGCTGCAGAAACTGATCAACAGCTCTGGACCACATTGCTGGGCTGTATTAAATAATAATAATAGTAATAATACTCTCATGGGCAACTGAATACTGCATGTACAGCAAAGTCAGTAGTTTCTGAATATTAGGAGTTTTTCCAAGTAAGGAAATATATACAGTAAGAATTCCTTGGCACTATTTATAAAGATCCAGTATAAATGATACTGATACAATATGTTTCATATTTTCCCATTTCATTCTTAATATCTTTCTGAAATTTACATTTTCAGATAATTTCAAATGAATCTTGGAGCAAGATCCATCTGGGCCTCAAAGTAAAGGCCTCAATAAATTAAAACCATCATCCCTGGGATCTGTAATTAATAAAGCGGTTTACAGGTAATGGGAACTCCCCTCCACCACCACCACTGTGCAGCCCCACCTGGATGATGTGACGGCAGCCATAGTCCACCAGAATGCTTCCCGCACATCAGCTCTCAGTGGGGAGGAGAGCAGAGTGATGAAGCCAATCCACACCTTCCCAAAGGTGCTTAGCCTGGAAAACAAATGGTACAACTTTGGAAATGACATCAAAGCACAGCACCTGCCAAATGTTTAACAGTGACCTAATGTTGGCTTGTGCGTCCAGGCATTTCCTCATACATGTAGTAAATGTGTCAATTTAGTTAGTGAATCGCGACCCTTTAGTTAAATCGATGTGTGGGTGTTCTGCAGCTTTCCTGTTTCTGTTAGGATTGTTCATTAGTGTTTGAATAAATAAATAAAAAATTTAAGAACACCTTTATAAACTCTACACAACACAATGTAACAACCTGCATGAAAGCCATACAGCAAAATAGAACCTGCTCAGAAACCTGTCAGGGCCACGGTTTCTGAGCTGCAAGAACGTCCTTGAGCGCTCAAGTCCTTCATCATTTTCACCTGACTTCCCTCTTCCTAGAGTTTGCTCTTTGGTTTGTTAGCTGTCTCGTGATGACCTCAAATTCACACCTCCTCCCTGTCATGTCACTGGGACGGTGTCGTGTCGTGTTGTGTGGCACATATGGAGGAATTATTTCTGGCGCACATTCCCCTAAAGCATTTCTGAATGTGCCTTCTAACTGATTCGTCTCACCAGCAAATGCATCACTAGCAGTGTCTAAGACGCTGTGTGGGACAGGACGAACTGTTGGACGTGTGTTTGAGGATGCAATTATGGATGTTTTTTTTAAAAGATGGTACTAAATATATGTCTTCATTACCAGGCTAATACAATAAGTCCTGGTTCATTGTTTAATTTCATTTTAAACATTTTGAGGCCAAATAATACCTATTTAAAGAAGAAACTACCAAGCAGCAATTTTTCAAACTATCGGTAATACAATGGCTCTCACAATAAGCCACAGGCTTTTAGGTTGTATGATCACTACACAACTGGCAATTACCCACTGCCTTATCATTTACAAAGTGATGTGTGATTCCCATATTGAGACCTATATTTCTAATAAAGAGTACAGTATTTTAAGCATCTTTATAATACCATATTTTGATAATCACAGTCTAATGCTTTAAAAATAGTTTTTTTGAGGTGGTTCAATATTTCTGTTTTGTCATTAGCTGTCAGCATTGTTTGAATGATGAAGAAAGGCGTTTTTGTGCGTGTAACTTGATGGAAGTCAAAGTTGGAACCATTGCAATATAAAATTAAGTTTTTCATTTTCAAAGTTTCCTTTGTACAGGCTGTGTTTTTTTCTGTGTGGGCTGATAGTATGGCCAATAGCTGCAATAGCCCATTTAGTGAGCTTTTCCTGACTCCCAGAAAAATAAATCTTGATTGTTCTTAAGAACAAAAAAGAACCAATTCCCTTGTACTGTACTGTAGCTATTTGTATTAGCACAGATATAATTTAACACATGCTATAATGACTTCATCCTCTTTGTTTAAGATATACCGAAATATGCGGCTTAGACCATGAGAATTTCTTTTTTCCCTTATATAGCAAAAGGATTTCTAATACTGTTTTCCCACCCTGTCTATGATCTGTTTCAGATTCTTACAGCTTTAACTCATAAATGAGAAAAGGTTGCTAACGCAGAAGGTCTTGTGTATTATCATTTCATAAAATATTAGTCTAACAACATTCAGAACCCTTTTATGACCATTACCCAAAACTGTACAACAACACGTACTGTAGGTTTCACAATAAGGCAAACTCTAATGTGAAGCTTAACCCTAATACTGTTACTCCAGCCCTAACTCTAAGACATACTGAATGTGTGCTTTGAGGAATGTTTCAAACACTTATTTTTGTGACACAGCTTTTATAACAATAGTCCTAAAGGATTACAAATTACAACACACGTAGCCAGTGCTCGAATACGCAAGCCAGATTACCAAATCGTATGAAGATATCTTCAAATATTTATAGATATCAAAATATGTAAATGTGTCTTAAATGATTTCGAGATCTCTTCATATATTAAAAGATATCTGTAAAATCATTTAGGGATGTCTCTAAATGATCATTTGGTTTGTCATAGTTGAGGTGCAACAAAAGAGCTGGTGCCCCCTTTCCCCCAATTACTAAAAATAATTGGTAAAATATGGCAACAGTTCGTTAGTTCGCTGGTATAAATATCACAGCTGAGAAGCCCCGTATTTGGCCATGGATTGTAAAAACAGAAATCTGCCCCACTTGGTTGTGGATTTATCCTGATGAATTAGAGAAAAACCGATCCCCATATTCTGTCAGAGAAGAACTCTCTTCCAGTTTATCTTGGAAGTGATAAAAAAGCTGTGCTGGACAGACAACAAGCTCACAATTTTTTGTGATCTCAACTCAAGGTATTAACGTATTTAAAAAGCACATCCATGTTAGAGTGCTCAGCCTTGCGGAATATAATCAGATGTACTGTGAATCTAACATGATTAATTTGTAGGTAGGAGAGCTATTAGAGGATTTATTTAGTTCTGTGAACCCTTATAAAGTACTGGGACTCAACAAGAAGTGCCTGGACTCAAAAATTAAAGCACTGCATTGAATTGCCACGTCTCTGAAGGTATTACGCAGGGCATGTAAGGCCACATTCAAGTAAAGCACGAAAAAAAGTCAATTTTTTTGTTTCATGGAAATGTATTCTAAAGTAACAGTTCATTTAACTTGAGAAAGTATCAATAGCTCATTAGCTTGAGATATTGAGATCATACAGGGGGAGACAATACACTGTAAGACCGTGTTTTAGGGATTTGTTTTAGCAAATCTTGGAGTGTCTGTATAACATCGCCAAATAACATTGTATAACTTTGTCAAATCTTCAGTTTCAGCTCATTGTGATTACTTTGCACTTTGTCTGGATACTGATTCATCACAGCTGGTAGTAAGACCATTTGCACAGGGGCTGGGGCTTCAGGTCATTACATTATCTAAAAGACCTGTCTCTCTCAGTGTACCAAAGTATCAGCTATGCACTGCACGAGCCAGCACTACAGTCTTTGAATTTCATGCCACATTTGCAGGTAGACGTACTGAGCACATCAAGAAACACCAAAGCCTCCCTGTTTCCTGTCCAGTAATCCTGGTGTTTTTGTTTGCCTGGCAGGGGACCTCCGAGGACAAACCTTCATTCCATACTGGCTCTCCGAGGGACGGACCAGACGAGCAGCTGGGGCCCAGTTTCAGGTCGGATGCTGGCAAAATGACAATACCTGTAATGTCTATACCATGAGCCTTACCGCAGCAGACAGAAACAAGCATTGGAAGGTTTTTCCCTCGCTCTGCTTTCAGCTGGTGTTTATACACACACACAAAAGGACATGTCAAAATCCTTGACATTTCTTGGCATTTCAAAACGAGACATTAAATGATGAAATTACAGCTAAGAAAGAGTAATAGCAAGTCTTACTGCATTTAACTTGTGATTGTCACTTGTTCACAATGAAGAGGGATCTCAGAGCTCAGAACAGAATGCCATTCTTTTGAATACAAATAACCACTTTGGGCTGAAATAAACGTTTGTGAAGCAGATTTTAAAATAAAAGTGCCTTTTTAAGTAATGGCAGGACTTAAAAATGGCAGTTTTAGAAAATCCAGTTATTAATAAATCTGACGATTCAGTTGTCATTGTGATGAAGTGTTGCTTTAAAGACACACAGCTCTTCTCTCCAACATGCAATCACTGTTTAAGACCTGGATGTGCAGAATTTAGTAAAGCTTGTGTTTTAGATTATTCAATTTTTTAATACTTGTATTGTATTTCTTTTGAAAACTGAATCTTTCAAACACATTTTAATGTATGTTTCAGATACTGTATACAGTATATATGACTGGACAAGCTCTGTTTCACAGCCACATACTGTGTATTGTAAACCTGAGACAGCCAACCATGGTTTTTTTTAATTCCATTAGGTGTAATAATTAGACTTTCGCTGTTTAAACAATTTATCTGCCAGATTTTACTGATTCAGTCATTAATTAGAAATAAATTTATCATTTTCTTCTCTAGGAAGACAGGACATTAACACAATCAACCCTAAATACAAACTGAGAAACGTGATTTCAGAGTAGGCAACACACTGAAAGTAAAACAGTAATGTATCCTTTGTTCTAACAATTTCAGTCGTTAATGAGAAGAGCTGACAGCAGATTGTCTGAAACTCTGCGATGACAAGGATTTGGCAATAATTAAGATGCACACCAGGCGTGTTCACTACAACACTGAGAAACTCTAGAAGCCGAACTGGCAGATGTTACACTATGAGTTTTATGAACCTGCATTCTGCTCAAAAGTAACTAAAATGGATGGTAGAAATCCTGGCTCCAGGTGGTTACAGGAGCAATTCTGTATTCTGAACAAAAGCACCATGACAAAAACACTCATATGTTATGGCATAAATTATTTTTTCAAAGCTCGCTGCCTGACCGAAACAATATCAGTGGTCCAGATATCACTAGCTTCACCACTTGCAGAAACAGTTCGAATCGACTAGCAGAAGGAGAAAGAGCTCTTCTGCACGATAGAGGCCACTTTCGTGCTGTTGGAATGAATTGGGACGGGTGTGCTCCGTGGTGTAAGTGTAAGAAGATGGAAAGAGAAAGTGAGGGTGATAGAGGCAGCATCTGCTGTCGCTGAACATAATCACGCAGCAGCAATAAATTAAGCAACAAAGATAAGTCAATGGCCCAGTAGCGGCTGTAATGGGGTTGTTAGCCTTTGCATCTCTTCCTTACAAATTCAGAATACGTGCTCCCTTCTGTAGGGGCCGCCTCCAGATGTGTGTGAAAGGGCGGCTGGTGGCAATGAGACATGCTTGCCCTGGCAGGGAAAGTTGTGCAGGGTAGCAGTGGATGGGTCCTGCGGCGTGCCGATCCCAGCCAGCGACTCTCGGTAAGCACAGGTTACTGTGCGGTCCTTTGTAAGTCCTCTGGGTTGACTGTGCAAGGGTTACTCTGCATTGCAAGTGACGTGCACAGTCAACCCAGGGCACTTCCTCAGAATGAACTGTGAAACACAGAGCAGGGGGCACTAGTGTTACACCAGGGCCGTAGGTAGAAAGAAAAAGGGCCCGGCGAAGTGAGTGATTGTTCTCCGAGTCCGATTAGCAGTGAAGATTACAGAGTTTATTATGTGATCAGGTTTGGGCTGGAGACAGGAGGGGATAAGACTTTATTGATGATAGTTAGATATCTATACAGATAGGGTGATAGATAGTTAGCGAGTGTCGCAAACAGGAACCGGAAGCGAACTGGGAAAGTAACTCCTGGAAACGCCTGACACCAAGAACAAACACACACTCCTGTGAGCCGACTCAATGTCAGAGCCCTGAGGAATGGTTCTTAACAAGGTTGATAAGCCTGGCCTGATCTCGTTAGAGGTGGCCCTGATGAGTGCCGTGGGGATGGAGGGTGCTGATGCAGGAGAACTGGAGCTCGTCCAGGCATCACAACTAGACAATAGATGGATAGAATCCAGTGCCTCCCGCTCAAAAGGAGCAAGTTCTCTCTCACTGTTGTCTTTCATGTTGCTCTGCACGGGGGTTTCTCACTGGTCTTCTAGTTTTACCTGCCCCTGTGTGGATCCAGCTCTCCACAGGAGTCTTAGTACAACACAGGAATATTTCCATGGAATAAGGATGACCCCTGTGTGCAAGGTATTGTATTTTTTTTATTGCAAGGTGGTAATCAAGCCATTAACAAGACTAAAACTCTTTTTTTATGGTGTTAAAATTCAATTGATTTGCAGTATTTAAAAAATAATATTTCCTAAACATGAAATCAATTTATTTTGTGACCACTGGCACTTTAATTCCAGTTGTGTGCGCCACTTTCTTCAGGATCTTAATGCTGTTTCCACTCCACAGCTGCATGAATATAGCAGCCTATAAATTTCCCCTCTGTATCTTGGCGATGCAGACTTGACTAATTGAATTCAAATGGAGCTTCTGGAATACCCTTGTACCCAAGAGAAATGCTATTTGTAGCAGAAATCCACAAAAAAACATTAATTTGTATGCTATAGATTTCAGTATACTCCCTTTTGAAAGATGCTTGAGAGAGACAGTGTAAAAATGTTAGGAGCCAGATATTAATGCAAAGCACAGAAGGCCTCAATCACATGGGCACCATTTGATTTTGGAAAGTCTCAAAACATAAAATCGTGGCTGTGTTCATTTCGACAACTTTCTCCATGGCTTTCTTTATAGTGTAATCTGACTGTGGTTTCCCAATGGACACAGCCACGTATCAATACCTCTTTCTTACTTGAAAGTGCCTTACTTAACTTGGATTGCTGCATATCTATTGCTTTCCCCTTGAGATTTTCTTTGTTGAAAACTTCTCTCTGTCCCAGTTAGTGGGAAGCCTGACATGTCTGCAGAACTCTTCCTTCTTTTTGCACTGCTGCGTTTTGAACATAATCAGAGTTGACCTCTGTAGAGAGGTGACAGGCTCTGCAGAGCCCTGCTCTTTCCTATCAGTGGCCATCACATTACGTGGAGCATGCTATGCCAATAGTGCTATTTAGTGGCTCCGTACTATTAAACATGTCAGTACATACTGTATGGTCACAATATCTCTGCCTTTGCACTAACGAAATATGAGACAAATTTTATCTTGTGTGTGTTTATACAAGGCAGCTACTAGGCTTAGCTAACTAAAAATAGCGGAGTATTACCATACTCAGTAGTCAGGGTGAAGACCATTTTGAGGGCAATTGCATGAAGTCAGTGTTTTCTGGCCCAGAATGTCGTTTGCGTCCATTCATGCCATGAGGAGCAGGCTCCCCTACGACTGAGCTCTGTTTTAATCCCATGACTGCCCTAGTCTCCCCTGCTCTGTCATCTGGCTTTCATTACAGAGTGATCACAGGCCAAAACAATTTAAAACACATGGGCGCCTGGTAACCTGGAGCTCAGACCTTCCAGTGTCTCAGCCCTGCGTGCCTCAGTGCCCGCAGGGTTACCACAAGAAATGTCTGCTATTAGCTGGGTTTGCAGTTTGTACTTGCAAGGATCCTGGACAGAAACTGTGAAGCAAACGTTGCCTGACTAGTCATCGTGTATTCTTAAAGAGCTGGCCTTTTTCAGTCCCTTCACCCATCTGAACCAGACTGCTGACTGCAATCTTGTTTGTACAGCGCCCTCATTATACAACAAAGTTAAGGTGCAGAAAAACTCTAGAACTGTGTTTCGGTTCATTTCTGCATTTTTCTGCAAGGAAAAAAAATCCAAAATTGATTTTCTGAAATTTTATGGACCTAAAAATCATTTCAGGTTCTGCAGATATGGATTGATATGAAATAATTCATGAAAAGATCAGAACTGCTATGGATGACAGGATACCAATCTGCCCATCTAGCTCATTTGTTGTCTCTCCCAGTACTTTTGTGTCTAATTACACATTGCTTACAGTGTTTCACACTGAAGGCAGCCCGAAGGGAGCACCAACTGCGGTATTTCTCGGTTGTATAGAATTGATACATAATGTCTGCAGGGCCTGTTGACATCTGCAGAATAGAATAAGACTTGCTGTTTGAGGCCAGGTTTGAACTGTTCAATTTATGATTGTGTCTTAAAATCACTCTGCCTTACTATTAGAAACTGAATGCTTTATGTGTCAGTGCAAAATGTGCCATGCTTTTCATATTTCCCTCAACAGCCGTATTAAATTCCAGAGCCAGGTTTAAGTGAAGAGTCCGTACAATCTTACCATTACTTGCACCTACAGGTAGTCGCCTGCTACAGCCAGACCTTTGAACCTTTACAGTTTGGAAAGTTATCCTGCTGAAGTTTTAAGGCAGTTACTGGCATGAATAAAAGATGTGTACGATGATGCTGGGATGGTATTTAGCTTTCTTAGCATTGTGTTTAAGACTGAGCAGAGCTGACCTAGGATTGTCTGGCTCTAAGGCAAACGTACTGTCTGCTTAGCTGTAATTTAAACAACAGATGCGTCCATATGCTACTCATCTGCATCTGTGTTCCTTATATTCTCCGTGTGCATGACTGCCTGTTGTAGCTCTGGGAATTGTGGCTGCTGTGAAAATACTGTGAATTATTTGTCAGTGTCAGAAGCCTGTATACTTGCAGGAGGATAAAATGCACAGAATATTGAAATGTACATAAACACAACAGCTCACCTGCATGGGTCAGGAATCCTGTTTGGTGGCAGCGTGAGTAACTTAG